AACTTTACTTACCGAGGAAACTCTCATTTTGATAAAGTGGAATAGAAGGAGAATTTCAGAGACGAAACTGTAAAGTAATTTATTCTTGACGAATTACATATTATAAAGTACGTATATAATAAGGTTGGTTGGTTGGTTGCTTGCTTGCTTAACTTTTATTGACACAGAAGCCATGCAGGCTACACTGCGCCATGACACATGGTACAATTGTAGAAATAAAATAAATAGGGAAACACATATATACACAAACGAAACATACGAATTTAACCATTACAAAGCCATAATATAAATATAAATATTGTTTTGTTTACTTTCTGCACTTTTCTGACAATTTCGTGATAAAATAAATCAATAATTTAATCAACTTTATAAATTTATTCATTGTATTGTAAAATATTTTAATATTAAATTCATGTTTGTTAGTTTCAGTTTATTATTTATATTGATCTTTCGTTTTCAAATTGCAATCTTATAAATTCCCACTTGTAATAATTTCAGTCTACCTTTGTGCCTGTTCTTCCTTATTCTCGAGAGTAGAGTTATACAAATGGTTGGTTACTTTTTATTGGCACAAGAGCCATGCAGGCTATACTACGCCATGACACATAGTACAATTTGTAATATAAAATATAAAAGATCTAAAATAAAATAAATAAATAAACAACAACAAAAAAATATATACAATAATTTAATCAACACAAAGTAAATAAAACTGTACAATAAATAAATAATCAAATTTCCTTATACATATTAATGACTTTCAGAAAGTCCAGTATATTGTTCAAATTTGGCCTCTGGCCCAAAATCTTTATCAAACTTGCATTTCTGAAATGCTGTCTACGACTCTGATAAAAAGAAACGCAGTTTGCAAAATATGTGTTTAATACTTACAGTACAGTTGCAGAACTGACATAACGGTTCATCATTACCCTTCAAAAGGTATTGATGAGTCAGTCGAGTGTGTCCAATTCTCAAACGAGTAAGGACAACCTCAGATCTCTTATCATACTGCCTATTGTGTGTCTAATTTTCTATCAAAAGTTTGATCTCATATAGTTTATTGTGAATTTGTGCATTCCACATAACTTGCCATCTCTCTGCTAATCGTTTTTCAACAACTAGCTTCAAATCACCTCCTTCAATACGCATTGTATGCTGTGAAAGACTAGCTGACTCTGCAGCTGCATCTGCTTCTTCATTTCCTCTTATACCAACATGGCCTGGGACCCGACAAAACTTTACAGAAAAATTTCTTGCAGTGAGATAACAAATTAGTTTCCGAATTTTAATAACTATGGAGTGAAAACTAGGTTCATACGAGATCAAACCCTAAAGTGCGCTAACTGAGTCAGTGTACATCATACAGCAACGATGACCTTTCCTATTTATGTATTTTAGGGCTAAATAAATAGCCTGTAACTCCGCAGAAAAGATAAAAGAATTCAATGCTATTTGTACTGCCACAATTTCATTTTGGCAAACAAAGCCTAAACCAACGTAGTTATCGGATTCAGATCCATCCGTGTATATAGGAATTAAATTCCTGCCACAATGTTGAATTTCTGTGAAGTGTTGTCTATAGATGTAGTCTGGTGTGGTTTCTTTGGGGAACTGCTTTAAGCTTAAATCAACATCTATCGCTGTTGTATTTCCGCTTTCCAAATTAGTAAAGTCCTGAAGCTACACCAGGAAGATAAGCTTATTTTGTGATACACGCATTTGAAGAAAGCTATAAGAATCTCTTCCAAAATTGTTCACACCAAGTTTTATTGTTCGTGACAAACATTACTTGAAAACTATACAAAAATGTGCAGATATTTTTATTACCGTGAAACAATTACATATCAACTTCACAATAGCCAAAGGAGACTTTATTTCTGGTTTTACTTGATGTTCCCTGAATTAAACTGTATTAAATAAATCATATTGTTCATCTATAGTATAACATTACTTATGAGCAATATATAAATGATATTATATAAATAAAAGGATTTTTTTGTTTAGATCGATATTTTAATCGCTTTCTGAACGGTCAATGCGGTTAAAATATTGGCTTACCATTCTGGGTAATACGAGAACGAATTAAATCAGTTCTCTTCGTTTATCATCCTTCTTTCTTCATTGGAATTGTGGCCGTACACATGATGTTCAGTATATAGATGAAAAGGTTATCTTAGTGAAGAACAGCCAGAGGCGAGAAGAGCCAAAAATGGAAATAATTAGGATACTTAGTTTTTTAATGTAAAATACGACAATGAGTTTCAATGCGAATAAAACACTCAAATACTTTATGTATAACGTTTATTCAAAGACAATTATACAATATACATTGTTAAGGAGCTTGAATCATTTTCATCTTTTCTTCTAGCACGGAATGAATCAACCTGAAATGCGAATTCGATTTGCATAAAACAACAAAAAATATCACAGATAATATATCTGATAATCACGCTAACAGATATGTCAAATTCTTTGACTATGTAAAGGCTATAATTAAATATTAGAGCGGGCGAAGTTTTCATCTCTACAATGTGAAAGTCGAACGATGAGCGCCACCATCTTGTAAGCCTAGAAGTTTGACAATGGCGTTCGGAATGTCATTGGAATCGTGTTCGACGTTCCAAACGCTATTGTCAAACTTCTAGGCTTACAAGATGGTGGCGCTCATCGTTCGACTTTCACGTTTTAGAGATGAAAACTTCGGCCGCAACCTCTCTATTAGAAATTAATTAATTTGACTAAAGGTAGGCAGTTAAGCTTCCATTTCGTATTAAATTTAATAATTATGAATAATCTTCAATTAGACATTTATAAAATTTAGTTTTGCATCGTCATTAAATTTAATACGAGATGGCGGCGTAACTCTCTACCTTTAGTCAAGTTAATTAATCTCTAATATCTAATTATAGCCTTCACATAGCCCAAAAATTTGGCATATTGTTTGGCGTGTTTATTATATAATGGGCAATGCTTGTTGATGTTTATACGTAATATGTCTGAACACAAGTTTGTAAAAATGTGTGATCATTAGCGACACTAAGATGCTAACGGAACAAGTGCTTTTAGTAAAATTTCTTAAAAGCTCCGAATATCAAGTTCGGAAATCAAAATGAGCGTAGGTATCATAGTCAACAATTAAACGCGATCAGAGTCGAAAATGATAGTGTCGGATAAACCATTTCCAGCCGACCTTTCTCGCGAACCTTATGAAGCTCGATTTACACCTAGAGACAGGTGAAAGACCAATTAGAAAACGGTGATGTAAGGTCTATCCAATTAGCAAAAAGCCGATCCCGAAAAACTTATAAAAGCACCAATTCCAAGGACAACAGGACTTCCAATAAGAGTTCCACTAAGCCTTCCACTAAACTTCTGTTGTGTTCGTGTATTTCCGTTTTTTTCGCGCATCCTTTCATACTTGTGCATCGACTTTCGAGTCTTCGAACATTTTTGCTCAACGCTGTCCAGGGGCCCCTACGAAGCAGGACCAGATCGCCGCCGAAAATCCCGACGACGCAAGACCAGCACCGACGTCGAAATTTCCAACAACACAGGACCTTACCGACGAGAGACTTTATGTAAGCAATTTCGTCCGGAATAAACGGTTTCCCTCTGTGAAACACTTGTCTTTGCTGCCTTTAAAAACCGCCACCCACATACGCGTAGACCTTAGACCATCCCGACAGTAGGGGAAGAAATCTGCCCCCAATCGGCGTTCTTACACATTTAGCTTTGTAAAACGTGAATACAGAGGAAACATTAGCTGTAATTCATGTTTATTCTGTAAATAAACATGAATTAAAATGACTTCATGAAGGAATATGTTTTAGCTGTTTCATTACTCCTTGCTGGACAAGTGCAAATTACTGATAGTGAAATCAGAACTTTTTTAATCATACGAATGTGGATTCTGTTTTGCTACGATATTGTATATCCCATTGAATTTTAACAGAAGTTTACGTCACCTAAATCATCTGACTGTAGATCCAATTCTTTGCATATATGAAAAGTAAAGAGTATTAATCCAGTTAATTCTTTTCTGCGTTTAATTATTGTTCAAAATTATTTAAGACGATCTTAAAATTATGTAAATAGATGTGTATCACGTAAAGCTAAAGGTAGAAAAAGAATAACCTTAAATATTAAATAATAAAAGTCAGTCAGTAAATTTTTATAAAGATAATATGAAGTTGAAGAGCATGAAAATTATGAATATGCTCTTGAGCTCGAGCGTAATGATCAACGCACGTGCTGTTCCGAGCATAACATATGAACATTTTTTATTGTTGCATTAACAATAATTGTTAATAGTATAATTTTGACCATTGTCAAAGAGTATTGTAGTATTTTCGAAGCGATTTATTATTCGAAAGCGATTTCTTTAACAAAAGATGAATTTTTTAAGTAAGTTCAATCAATTAGCTTATTATATACATAAATATAAGAATCATTTCTCGATATGTTAATGATGCACTGTCAATTAAAAAGTTTAATTAATCGTAATTTTTTAACGAAAGGTTTTAAATAAGTCGACCTCTCTATAACACTGTTGATAATTCCGTTTTATATGAATTCCATGTTGTACGAGTCACTTATATTTTACAAATATGTGTGCCGGACTGTAAATGGCTCACGAATTTGTAAAATCTAAATGACTCGTACAACATGGAATTCATATAAAACGGAATTATCAACAGTGTTATAGGGGGGTCGACTGTAATCAATAACAATATTATGTAACACATTATATGAATTGCAACTACATATTCTCCTGATTTCTTTCAATTAAAAAAGGGAGAACAATTTCTTGCGGGTATTTACAATTAATTCTCAAAAATTCCAGTAGAAATTTAACTTGGATTGTCTTCAAGATAAACTTGTTAATTGCAACGAATAAGAAAGTACTGTATACGCATAGGCAACAGTATATATAAAAAGAAGAATAAACCAATATTTCTGAATGTCATTAATGATATTTAAATATGCTTTAATTTTCTGTATACCATAATATAGTATTTGTAATTCTGTTAAAAATAATAATAATTATGAGATGATTATTTCTAGGTAATCAACAATTGTTTGATGCAAGTTATTTTCCTTACAGAAATAACTTTGAGGTATGTTTATCAGAAAATTTTTATGTATGTTTTAATTAAAATAAAGCAAATAATATTCAGATAGCATAGAAATCAAATACGAACATAAATATGTAAGGACATTTTGAGCTATCTTTATATTTAAATATGATTTGAAAGCTGGTACTTTTCTTTAAACATTCAGACATTTTGTAAACTTAACATGACATAAATTTAACTGTCATTCAGTTTTCCTACAAATATTTTAAAAGACGTATGATCAGATTGTATTTCTCCTATCTCCTACAAATTGAATGTTTATTCAATCGAATGTTCATGTTTCTGGCTTTTAGATCTCGAAGATTCAAAATTAACATATTTGATCACTGTTTGAAGTCTTGATCTTCTGGTATAACTTGAAAAAATACAGTTAAGCCTATATAAATTAGAACAATCGAGTCCTGAACCGATTTTAAGGCTTTAATTGGCAAATTAATATTACAATAAATATTTTAATATTCTGGTCTAAAACAACAGCTTTACTTTCTGAAGATCGTTGTAGTGTTTACAATTTATTATTAAAGACTCGAAAATTTTCTTAGAAAAACAGGGATATCTCTTTTCATATAATATATCAATCACCTCACGAATGAGAACTTATTAAAATGAGATAATGCAAGTTAAATCGTATCAGTTATTGAACTGCGACCCGTCTTACATGTTAAAGTATCAAAGAACTGTTTATAATAAAACATTTGGGTGAGAAAATCAAACAATACCTAAATTATGATTTGAGTTATTCTGTTAAAAGCTTGATTATGCAGCTATGTTTGAATAAATTCCGAATGGTAATAAGGGGCCATCGCTCGTATAATTGTAATAATGGAAGATATCCTTATTGCAAAAGTACTGTTGAGTGTGTGTCGTGTTATCTCAGATAAAAAGTAGTATTCTAGGTGAAATATTTAATGTGGTTTACATTGATAATTTATCTAAAATGGCTCTTTTTAACTTATATTCGTGCTATACGTTTTAAGAAACGTACTGTAAATAAGTTAATTAAATAAGTGTATTTAGTTTTACAATGATTATAGAAATAAAAACAAACTGTTATTAGACATTATTGTAATTTTAAATTGGGTGTAATATCTGAAATTGATTTTATTAATGTATTGTATGGTTAATATTTCAGTATGTAGCGCAACTGAACCAATATGGACCAGGAACAAAATTTCCTGGGTATTGGCCAGTTATAGAAGTGAGGGAAAATGGGCTGCCAGCAGAGTCGCCTGGATATGATCCAAGAATAAATGTTACAGAATATGGGTCTCCTACACAGTGGTATGGATATAGTCCAACAACGGATGTAATAGAATATGGACCATCAGAGCAGCTTTATGCATATGATCCTCCAAGAATGCATGTAACAGAATATGGACCGCTAGCACAGTGGTATAGACATGGTCCAAGAATAAATGTCCCAGAATATGGGCCTTCGGGACAGTGGTATGGATATGATTCAGGAATGGATGTCTCAGAATATGAGCCTCCAGCACAGTTATATGAATGTGGACCAGTTATGGAAGTCCGTCAAAATGAACTGTCCGTACAACCCCCTGGATATGATTCAGCTCCAGATAATCTTGAATATGGACTACCGGTGGAGCTTCGTGGATATAGGCAATTTCCAGAAGTGTCAGGCTATGGACCAATTCCACAATTACATACACATGGGTCCGAATTAGAAGTAGTTGGATGTGGAGTGTTTACAGAAATTCCCGGACATGGGCCACACTCAAATTTAAACGAACATTGGCCTACCCCAAAAATTATTAATTGTGGGCCTCAACCAGATGTAACTGAAAATTGGCTAAGTACGGAAATAAGCGTGTATGAACCGCTGGCAGAACTCCAGCAGCCCTCGCTCTCAACACAAATGTTGGAACATTGTCCGGAGCCAGAGTTACTTGAAGATAAAAAGATGCCATCTGTACTTCCCGAATACGAAGAACCAACAGAGTTTCCCAGATATGAGTCAGTAGCTCTTAATTCTGTAAATGCAGTAGAACAAAACCACTTTTCATCAGAAATGATTCATCAGCTACAAAAAGGTAAATTTTTTCAATTTTGATTTGATTTATAAATAAAAGATTTAAGACAGATATTAAATAATCGTATAACCGTATGTATGACAATTCCAACGTATAACAGTATAAGTAAACAACTTTTTCTCGACGATTTCCTTCTTATTTCCCTTTATGAAAAGTTATAAACATTGTGTTGACCCCTTATTAGTTACGTTAGATTTTTATATTCTTTATCAAAATTTACTAACGAATTATGTTGAGCTCTGAACATAACGCGCTACAAAACACTGCAGCTATTTTATTTGAAGATTGCATAAATAATCATTGATACACGATCATAATAATACAATTTGTATGGTTTTCAATCATTCGATAAATTTTGAAACAAAACGTAATCACTTTTTACAATAATATTAATGATGTAAAGAAATATTTTTTAAACTTCGCCATGCATTAAAAGTATTAAAAAACAAACAAAAGGACTTGGATATTCTGAAAATTTAAGTAACTGTGAAAACATTTTTGAAGAATATTGACTGGATATATTTATTGCACTATACAATTGTGATTTTTTTTTTCTTATATTTATTTTACATTATTGACTATATAAAACTTATATTCTCCTAAACTAAGGTTTGTTGAATCACTTTTCACGTTTTGCTCTACTTTAGTTTGTGGGTTTGAAATGCAAGACTCTAATCAAAGTGAAATGACTGAAACTTGTTTGGATGATAACAGTTCTTCGGAATGTGTTAATAATTCGAAGAAAGACTTTACAAAAGACAAACATAATAAACTGTCTGAAAATACAATTACAAACAGCGAAAATGAAGATACGTTTAGTAAATTCAACGCTACAGAAGAGTCTCCAAGTGTAAGCTTAAATTAAATTATATTATTTCAGTAACTTTTTTTATGCCTAATATCATGTATACATTGAATATTGATAAATACATCATTATTATAGTATTAAGTATTACTCAAAATATATTTATTGGAATTCGATATAGATTATTTATTTGTTTTTTTTTTATTTCTAATATTTATACGCTATTATTTTATTTAATTTTTTTTTTAATAATTAGTATCGATACATATAAGAATAAGCATTTATCAATAAATTTGATGTAAAAGCAGTTATAAAACGGTGTCGTATCCAGTCATAAAGTAAAATGACAAACGATGGCGACTTTGAAAAACTCCCAACCTCAACTTAGTAGTAACTTGCCCCTGTACATCGCACTTTTCCTGATAATCGCGTATGTAACTCCATTCTGGAGAATACTTTAAATCGACATGGCTTTTTGCCCGAACCGAAAGTTATTACATAGCTAATCTGGACCTTATTCCACTGCACTTTCTATATTGTCTCGACTTTCATATACACAACACACTGTTTTGGAAATTAAGGAAGACCTGATAGCCATATGGACGCAATCGAAATATATAGGACAACAATATTTTTTTACAAAACTCATACAAACATCCATAAGCTAATAGAATCATCAAAATAATAAAATACTATAAACGCCGATACGCAATAAAATACTAAAAAACCAATACACTCAATACAATGTACTCAATAAAAATACTTAAATCACGCTGTCGACAACTTTACAGATTACGTTTAAAAGATTATAGCATTAAATCACCATATTATACAATACAATAAATTAAAAAAAACGTTTTTTTTTTTTTGCCTTATGTATCATTAGTAACACAAGTGTCCGAAATACATTTTCGGCCCTGCTGTTAAATTCAACAAACTATTTACTATGTATTTGTAAAAATACATGCCTATGAATGTTATTAAATTAGCTTAGTTAGTTTACAATAAACTGTTAAACGTTTATTTAATTGAGGTTCATTTAATGTTTAAGAAATAATATGAAATCTCATTTTTTCAGAAGAACGTGCCAAAAACTCCATTGTCTCCAGCACAAATCACATCGATTGTAAACGGCGGTTATACACTACGACCGTTATATAGAGCGTTTCTGGAGCTGGAAGAAAATTCGTTAGTATGTGAAGTAATATACGAAGAGGACGANTTATTCTATTGTTATTTAATATTGTGTATATAGGTAATGACTATATTATAATTTTCAATAAATATATGACTTATTTTTAAATTATAAAATTGATTTCACAGAAAATCATAAGCAAGACGAAAAAGACACAACCCAAATCTTAAATAAAACTGATTTGGAAGAAATCAAATATGGTGGATCTGAATGTTTAGTCAAAGAGGAATCCAAGCCACAAACGGAAAGAAAAGTGAGAAAATATTTTTGTTTCTATTATGTTTAAATCTAATTAACTGAAATTGTAGCGTTAATTTTACTAATTATGTACAAAATATATTTAAATGACTTGATTGTTGATTTATGAAAAACTTTTCAAATTCTCTTTAGGGAGTAACAAGATGCCTGGACTTGTTCAGACGTGTTCTTCGCAGGTTTGGAGATTTACTTTTTCCTTGCTTGAGACGGAAAATGTAATATTTTCTGAATGAATATTGTATGCAGATTGGAAAATGCATATACAATTTGCCGTGTAGTGATTACTACACTTGATTAGAATAACAATATTTTCTTCAAAATTCAATTCAAATATTGTAANCTAAGCTTAACAAAAAAAAAAAAAAAAACAGATACTCACATTCACAGCGCCTCCTCTGCGTTTCCCGCAAGAGGAGGCGCTGTCCTCGGCCCTGTCCTCTCGCTATTTGGCGACATCTAGGCTTCGCTGAGGCCGCTGGTCCCTGCCTCCGCTTGGTCCTTCGGGTCGACGACAAAGGTGTTCGTTGAGTCCGAGGTCTGAAAAATCACATAATCCAGGTTTTCACATCTGCTAGGAACTATCCTTTGGTCACGTCCACTATACAAAAGCTGCACTACTCACGGGGGGGTCGTCATCTCCTTGCGGATCCTCTTCATCGGGCAGGTACACATCAAAATAGGGCTCGTCTGGCGGCTGATCTTCGTCCACGGGTACACCGATCGTCTTCAGTTGGAGACCTTCACGACCGGGACCCGGGTAGACGGCCACAATATGTTCGATGAACTGCCGGTATTTTGCCGATTCCGTTGGCAACTGGGACAGAAACCGCGTCCTGTACACATAGGTGCAGGTGTAACTTTGCAGGCTCCTGTCCGTGCGGAGGGACTTTATGGACTTCTTCAGCCAGCGATGTCTACCCTCGATGTTTTGAGTATGAGCCTCGGGATCATCGCTGTTGACGAATCTGCACAGAGAAAAAAAGAAAAATGTCACTTTTCATACCCTTTTCAAAAACACTCGTTCATTTCTTCCACTTAACACACAGCAGTTTCGTTTCATCGTATTTACCTCCCGGGGCCCTGCTGGCTGTGATTAACGGTCTTGTGTTCCGAGAAGCCCATCGTCGTACAACCGCGATATTGCGGCGCGCTGTCGGAAACGATTATGGATCCTGGAGCGATGTATCTGGACATGTGGCTCCATAGAACGCGTCTGCTTTTGTTCTCCACCTGAAAGAATACGAGAAAATATAACACAACACTTCCACTAAAAGTAAATAATAATAGGAAATAATGTTTCGTTACTACTTACATGCCAGTACATCATCTCTCGCGTTTCCCGACAATAGGCACCAAAAATAGTTAGTTGGGTGCCTTTGGTTATGCGCCCACGGTTGTACTTTCGTCTCCTGGTAAAAGTTTCATCAACCTAAAAATAAAAACACATGTATATAGATATAGAGGGCATAGACATAGATATATCGACGAAGTTAGAAACTTGGATCGATCGTCACCTCGACGCGTAGATTTTCACCGCCAATCTGTTTTTGATCGTTAGAGACGATAACCTCCGCAATTTCCCGGCAGAAGTTGTACCAGTCCACCGCTGTATGCTTGGCCACGCCGCATTCTCTCGCGGCGAGGGTGACCGGCTCATCCTTGACCCACGAGTAAATAATCATCAGCACCTGTTAAATACAAAAATAAAAAAAATTATCTCATAAAACATACATCATCTTAAGCGGTACGAATTACAGAAACACGTAACGTGAAACCGCCGATTCTGTGGGTGGTCCTTCCCTTACCCTGTTAACCCCTTAGGGCAGTTACTTAGTTTCTATTGTCTTAGATGTGAGTCATCAACTCCCAAGGGTAGGATTAAACAGGAAAATTCCAGAAAGACGAGAACAAAGAAAAAATATGGCTACCGAAAATATAATGCCAAATGCCACGATGTTATACCTTTTGAGCTGAGAGCTTAGCTCCTTCAAAAAATGTATTTTGGGCACAAGAGATCGCGCCGGTGCACTTGGCTCTCCAGATAAAGCCTCCAGTTCGTCTTCTCTTTTTTTCTCTTTGATTTATTTTCTCACAGCGGTAGATATACCCGAACTTCTCTGATGAATCTTCTTTTTTCTCCATCGCGCCTGAAAAATACGACAAATTGAATTAGCTAACATACCGATATCCGCGTAAGGCACTCCTGGCACAGGCAGAAATAAAGTAAAACTTACCTCCGCAACGAGGACAAGGCGGAATGAAATTTGTTAAATCTGGATGCGGAACCATTCCCACCAGATGGCAAAATTTCTGAGCTGCATCTTCAGTGGGAAAATATTTATAAAATAAGTAGCTCGTTAAATTTTCAAAAATTTCTGACGGAATAACATCGGAGCTCTCTGAAAGGGGTTCCATAACGAAAGGCATTTTCAAAGAAAGTAACGAACAGCATGAATAATGTTGCCAGATCTGAAAGTGCAAAAGTTGCCGATTTGAGCTGTTTGTAGCCCAAGAATAAAAATGAATTATTTTGCAACTATGCAATTTTAGTAATGAAATTCTTAGAGGTAACATTAGAAAAGAATATGATATCTGAAATTTTTTAACAGATACTTCCAATTCTACTTGACAAATCCGATTGTGAAATTTTGTACCTTCCGAGTATCGCGATTAACGTGACAATGGTAGGCTAAAATAACCAAACTTTTTATATATTTTTCGTTTTAGTGTTATACATATGAACATTCCGTGTATCTGTATCAATTTTCTCTCTTGTCAAAGAGAGTCATTTGTGGGTCCATAATGGCCTAAGCCCATTATTGGTTCGGCCAGGCCCACAATGGAGAGACCGGGTTGGTGAGGGATAGAGCCTGACATATCCAAATGGACCACCTCCCGAAAAATTCATGAAGATCTTTCGACTCGATTCTGGATTCAGATGTCGGCGCCCGTACTATCGTAACAGAAGGATCTATGATTTTAAAATATGCATTTTTAAAGATCAAAGAAGAGTTTCGATTGTAAAATTTAACCATAAAATGGATTATTTTGCCGACAGAGCATTCAAAGTAGCCACGAAAAAAAATTAGAATGCCGGGTACCATTCGAAAAAATTCGAGAAGATACATCACCGCTTGTACTAATTTGCGCTTATATAACTTCTAAATTTTCATTCATAAAACCATNACTTTAAAAAGTTTTAAAATATTGTAAATTAACTAATATTTTAATAAAATTAAACAAATCTCTTATGGTTGGTGTTTTATTTTTATTGTACTTTCGCAATTATTTAAGTCTGGTGTCTTAAATATCACTAGTTTTATTTATATGTTACTGTGAAAGACCGAAATTAGAGAATGTCGACACATACAAAATTCGTCGGTGAAAGACCGAATATTTGGTTATATTATTATACATTCGAACAATCGTGAGCCGTTCACAGCCCGACACACGTATTTGTAAAATCTAAGTGACTCGTACAACATGGAATTCATATAACACGGAATTATCTACAGTGTTATAGGGGGTCTACTGTACACGCTGTCATTGCAAAAAGAAGTGTTCCACGAATAAATGCAGTTGTAAAAGCAAGGGACAAGAGTCCCTTGCTTTTAACCATTGCAAAGAGAAGTGTTCCACGAATAAATGCAGTTGTAAAAGCAAGGGACTCAAAGTGTCTTAACAGTTTAAGTTATTGCAATAAATAAGATTGTACAACGTCAATCACATATTTTTTGTGTATGTTTATTATTGTGTTATTTTCTTTAATTATTTAGAACGTACTGTTCATTTTAGCTTCAACAGTATATTTACATGTGCCGTTACTTAAGCTTCATCCTATTTTGACGTATTAAAAAGTTGCATTTTTGTCTTAATGTAATAAAAATATTTTTGTTCAACATTCACCATCAGTGCATGATGAGTGTCGACATATGCCGGTGTAAGTGAGAAATAATGATATTTAGCAAATATTTCGTACATACACGAAACGACTGTGTGAATGCTGACATTCGCCGGATATCGGTCATTCACAGTAACATATATACAGATAAAATAGTATTACGTTCAATAGAAGAAGCCATTCATGGATTACATTTTGCGGAAAAATACATGGTAACGTTTATGAAGGAGCAATGTTTATTATATGTTACAAAGTATATATCGTCAGATACTGTTCTCGAAATATACGAAACAGCAGCCTTGCTTCAACAAAATGAATTAACAACGAAATGTTGGAATTACACAGTTAATAACGAATCAGAAATTATTAAGCACAATAGCGTTAAAAATGTGAAATATGAAACTATTTTGAAGATTGTATCAGAAGATAATTTAACGTTGCAATCGGAATTAGATATGTATAACGCCGTCATAAAGTGGGGTAAAGAAAGATTCCAAGATCAATCTCCCGAGGATCTTCGAAAACACGTAGAGCCTTTGTTGCAACAGATCAGATTTTTAAGTATGACTTCTACAGAGTTTGCGGAATCTCCGTGCCAAGATGGTATTCTTACTGACGATGAACAGACTGATATATTTAGAGAAATTGCTACGTCAAAGACTTACGATAGTAACAATATACAGGACCAGTGGAGAAAACGGAGAGAAGCGGTTAAACAATCTGTCAATGTCAAATCGAGAGATGAAACTTTGACACAAACTCTCGTATACAATCGAAATAGATTAAGAAATTGTGAAAAAGGAGAAGGTTCGGCGGTCAAAGAGACATCGCGCTGGATCGTTCGAATTCTGAAATGTCATAATAAAAGAAATAAAAGGCTAAGTAACGAGCGTGGAGGTGTAGATTCCATCAACGTCTCCCTGTCGAGAGTCGAGAGACGGTGTAGGATAGATGTGTCATCTTTGCCTCCAACATCACCAACCACCTACATACGATCAGTCCCTAGGCTTTTCCTGAAGCGGGATTAATTGATTCCAACCTAAAAGTCGGCCAGCTCACATATAGAACATATACTATTATTTTCCGGCTGTTATATATAACAGTGTTTTTTGACTGATCGCTATACATTCCGTCAAAAAGTAACCCCCGGAAGATTTTTACATTTTTGGGCTTAAAGAACATTAAAACGTTGAGAAATGCGAAAAAGTTGGCATTGTTTTCTCTGCGTGTATGGATGTTTGTTTGTATTTGTGTGTGTGAATGGTAGGCATGATTTTGATCATTTACTTCAAACATTTTGGCGGTTAAAGGTAGAGAAGGTGGGAAGATAGAGAGGAATCATATGTCGTATCTCGAGTGAGTAGAACTTAATTAAAGGAAACAGAATAGGGAATACACTGTAACATGAAAATAAATGGAATTTTATAGCTTTAAAGAATCCCTGTTGTTTAAAACTATTGTTTGTTTGTTCGTTTGTTTATTTAACTTACGGCAAAGCAATACTTAGGTGATCTGCGTGCATATGGTGATTGCCTTCCGGGAGGTCTTTTTAAGGGTAACTGGCCCCTATTCAGACGTTGCAGATATGGAGAAAATCAGAAAACTCCACTTGACCAGCCTGTTCTGGCCAGGTGCGGTCCCACGACCAAGTGTTCAGGGAACGGAACAGCTTGGCCACTGGTGAGCCTATTGACTCCAGGAAAGTGTATTTAAGCTTTATGTTATACAAAATATTGGCATAATGCTTTCAGATCCATCAACATACACATTTCCATTGTCGATACTTGGCGCGTTTTTCAAAAAGTTTGTACGTGACTGGTGTTATGCAAATTGTATTTGGAATGTAACTTGAGACTTTTGCTACATATTGTTTTGTTAAAAACGTCATAATGACTTAAATATACACGTTTCTTATATAAACATTGGCCGAAAAACGTTATATTCAACGATCTAATAACTTCGAGTATTGATGACCAGAAGATGTTCTGTGTGATAGTATGTATTCTTGTATATAAGTAATGTCCAAAGTTGGATATTGTTAAGAGTACTCTGGTTACGTTAACTTTAATCAAAAACTATGTGAAATACTGAAAGAAAATCGTTTCAACAGATATTTTGAAGTTTCTCCGAAAACGTTAATGTTATCCACCAGTAGATTACTTGGATAATGTCAAATTATGAGGTTTGTGGGTTGTATAAAATTTTTTCATTAATATTTCGTGATCTGGCGACATTGATCTGTAATGTTACTGCGTAGGGAATTTCAATAATTTCCCGCTATGTAGAAAAATTTGAGCCAGTTTTTAGTGTTGGGATAGAAATACTGTAGTATTTTTTTCAAAAATATGGAAAATTTTTAAATGATCGAAGTAAAACTTTGTTTCAAAATTGTATTTTCGGAAACTTATTATTATGAGAACTTCCGTGTTTCAGAAATGAGTAAGGTTTTATTCGTTATTGAAAAATTAATTAGGGATGTATTATGAGATGTATCAATTGATAACGAAGAAAACAGTACATGAAATGATTCCATTGATGAAACTTTACATTTCAGTAGTTCATTGCCTATCTCAAATTGTTTGGTGTTAGTGTTACACAATACAAGGTGGAGGTCAAATAAGTAAGGTATGTCGAGGTTAGATGAATTGGCTAATGCATTAACTACATATTTACAGAAATCCATGACATCTTCCAATATGGCCCAGAGAAACAAAAAGATTGGACACCCCCGATCTAAGTGATTAGGAGAGCTGTTACACATCGATATTAGTGGACTTGTCACTCCGTGCAATGTAAGTAATGGAAAATACAGTGGAACCTCGGTATACGACCTTAATCCGTCCCTAATGTTTGGACTTATACCGAATAGGACGTATACCAAACCAACCTTTCCCATAAGAAGTAATGTAAAAATGATTAATCCGTTCTCATGAAAAAAAAAATGGCTGGCTTTAAACACCTCACTTCCTGGCTAGTTCCTGCTTGATTTTTCATGAGATCAGCATGTATCTTTTTAGCTTTCTCGCGAATAATTGCTTCCGATATGATGTCGCCAGCACACTGTTTTTCATTTATCCAAAGCAAAAGCAATTTCTCAACATGATCTAATGTCTTCGATCTCTGTTTAGAAATTGATTTAACCCCTTTCCCAACGTTAGCA